CGCGAAACGTCATCGACTGCCGGCGAAATCGACCGGAAAGCCCACTCTTTAGCGAGCTTCTTGGCGCGGTTCCTCGTCGTCCGCTCTCCCCCTCGCCTCCCTCAGCCTCTTTCCCGCAGCTTTTTCCCCGTACACTCGACTAACCTATATACACGCGTATCGCGCGAAATTTATCTCACATAGATGCAAATCTTTTAGATTCTCACGCCGAGGAAGAATCAACGGGATCCTCCTCTCCCCTTTCCTGCACGACGCGCCACGCACGTGCCGCTGGCGAAGAAAGCTCTTCGAAAAATTCTCCTCTCGTCTCGTCTCGTCTCGTGAACGCGTGTATGCGCGACTGGCTTGAATTTTCCGGGAAAATTCGGAGAATTGGTGTGGAGGAAGAGAGAGAGAGAGGAAAGCGGAGAAAAATGGAGAAAAATGGAGAAAAATGGAGAAAAGCGGAGATTCGAATGGCACGCGAAGAGGGGCGACGAATGGACGACGAAGTGGACGGCGGAGGAACACGAGGCGCGCGGGGTGCTTCGCCGAAGAAGAGAAGCAGCATCTTTGGAAACGGAGGCACGAAGCGCGCGCAAAAGAGATGAACGAGATCGCGGCGTGAGGACGAGGGGTAGGCTGGCAGAGTCGGACAGAGAGGGGGAGAAGCGACGACCGAGAAAGAGAGGGAAATTCAAAGATGGCGCCACGCGTGTGCCCGACAGGGACGAGAACCGAGGGCCAGACAAAGACGACCGTCTCTACTTTCTTCCCCTCTCTCGTCGCGGGGAACAGTGCGAGCAGGCCGAAAAGTCCGAATCCGACGGTGTACGGAGAATAGCTCAGTAGTGTTCGAGACGCATATCGTGACGCTTGCTCGTCGCCGCGTCGTCATCGTCGTCGTCGTCGTCGTCGTCGTCGTCGTCTTCGTTCTCGTTCTCGTCCGTCGTCGTAGTCGTTGGTATCGATATCTCTCGATGATTCACGAGCGTTGCGGCGAGAATACGCGGCGACCAATCCCCGGTTCCGTTACATCAGCATCCGACTCCGTGGGTCCTCCACGATTGGCTCTCTCTGTGCTGCGTTCGAGTTTCTCTCTGTCGCGCGCGCACCGAGGACGGAAAGGGCGAGAAAGAGAAAGACAGCGAGAGATCGTTCGCTCGTGTTTCCTCGCGGTCTGGCTTTTTCTCGAACACGCGAGAGATAGATACGCGGCAGCGTGTGTGGCGTGTTTGCCGAGGAAACGTGTGCGTTTTCGTTTCAGCGGGGTTAGTTCGGGAAACGAAACGCGTGGGGAATACCGGCGTCGGCGACGGCGGCGTGTATAGTATCACGGAGAGAGGGATTTTCGACGAAGAGGAAACGCGACGAGGACCACCCGACTGTGTACGAGCCAGCAGCCGAGCGACAGAGCGAGAGAGAAAGGGAAGCGACAGGGAGAGAGCAGAGAGTACAGGGTATTTTGGACGCAAGATCGATCGATCGCGGCCGCTCTCTCCGGTTCCCGTCCAGGTCGACTCGTCCGATTCGCTCTCCCTCATCCGGAGATTCGTCGAACCGCGGTGTCAGTAGCGCGCCAGCCAGTGAACGTGGCGGTTGTTTTTCCGTCCAAGTGGTGTCGTCGTTGTCGTCGCCGACGATGTCGTCGGATAGTCGCGTGTCGTGCCACGCCGCGAGCTTCGAATAGAGAAAGAGAGCGAGAGTGTCGTTGTCTCGAATCGGATGTAAAAATAAAAGGAAGCAAGACTCGTGTCTCAAGGCTATTGGGCCGCCGTATATTGTCTCGCTCAGGAGCGTGTAAAATCGCACGACGGTGTGGTCTCTTCCCCTATTCGTTCCACGGATATATTATATCGTTCACGCGTTCTTTCCGAGGGAAGCACACTGTCGTTCGCTCTCGTTCGCTAATATAAGAAAGTTGTCCGCGTGTTTTCTCGGAAAAGATGTGCGTATCGATTCGTCGCCGTTTGCAAATTCCACGGCTATTTCTACCGCCACGCGTTCCACGGCCAGACCGCGTTAATTGCCTCATTGACGATGCATATATATATATCGGTGTTTCGGTTTTGTCGAATCGGACACGTTTGAAGGACGTTGCGAGCCGAAAAGACCACCGACAGAGAGAGGGTCGTTTGGACATGAAATTGTACGAGTTCGTTCCGGGAAAGGAATCGGCTCGAACGTAGATAAACAATCGTGTGTCGCGTCTTTCCGTGCCGCTCGATACATCGTTACGATTTCGTCCGTTCGTGCAATGGCTTGCGTCGAAGCTCGTGCCTGCCCCTTTGTGTTCTCCGGCATTCGTGTCGTGGGTTTATTTAATCGCGACAGAAAGAGGTTGTAGATCCTGCCCCTTTGTGTTCTCCGGCATTCGTGTCGTGGGTTTATTTAATCGCGACAGAAAGAGGTTATGTGGTAGTTTTTCGTAAAACATATTCGTTCGTCGAAGATGAAACGCTCTTCTAGATAAATATTTTTTCCCCTCGAGAATTGTAAACTGTGTGGAGACCACGTGTGCTTGGGCCACGTGTTTCCCTGTAACGTTACCAAGGAGTACTTTATCTCTCTCCCTCTCTCTTTCTCTCTGCGGCGTCTTCGATTCTCGTTTCTTTCTTTGAAAAATGTGTGTTCGTCGCTCGATCCAACTGTGTTAGATATTTGGTCGATGAACTAGACAAATTTTTCAAACGTCGAACATTACCGGCGCGCCATTTTCTACGATTATAACCTATACGGTAACGTCGTAAACGATCGAAGAACGAGGGCAACTTTGAGGCTATGTATCTCGTGGATTACGATAGATAACGTGTCCTTATCTACGAAACCGAGACCCGTCTGTCGAAACCTTGGATATTTCGGATTAATTTCAAGACGAGTGCAGCGATGTTAAAGCAGTGCTGTAGATATTTGCGAGAAAATTGAAGCCCGGCAAAGTATACGCGTATGTAGATAAAGTGGGTCGTGTCTCGTCCGACTGATTCCTGAATTCGTTGCTGCTACCGCAAATCGACGTCGATGGGATCGATATCGATTAACCCACGCGGGCCGTTGATCGCTGGAAACCCCATAAAGGGCAATCTCTTTACACCGGTATTTCCTGGGAATACTTAACAGGCGTGCATCGCGGTTCACCGGTTTAGAGGGGAGAGAAAAAGCGTACGCCTCCCAACGTTCTTCCATCGTTCTTTCATCGTTTTTTAAATTATTTGTAAAATTTCGATTTATCTTTGACTCGTGTTTCCAAAATGGTAGACCTTGCACGACGAAAAGATAAATTACCGACTGCGTTCCCTCGACCTGTAATAAAATAATGCCGAAATAAAGCGTCGAAAGGGTACAGAAACGCTCGTAATGTTATCTCGGTGCCTTTGGTCTCACTTTTGTCTCCCGAGAATTAATAAACGCTTCGGTTGGCGGAGATCGAGATGGCGATCTCGATCGCGATTCCCCACGGGCATCGAGAACGAAAGAAACTGGTCAGTCTGGACCAAGGTTAGAAGATTGCGCGTGTTGTATAATAGCCGTGCGAGCTTGATTCAGGGCCGTGAAAGTAGGGAGCTCGCGAGGGGCGACGCGTAATCTATTTCTGTCCGTAAGTTGGAGGCAGAAAACGTGGAAGCGTAAGGGTTCTAAGAATGACATGCCTAGTTGGAATCGCGAGTAACGTGTACCGACCTCTCGTACAGCGTTTCGATCGTCCAGACCAAGCAATTTCTTCCGACCGACCAAGTCCTTGCTGATAGGATGTAATTCGCGTATCGCCTTGGGAAAAAATATTTACCGAGATATAATAGCAACCGTGTCTCTCCGATTCCATCGTGTTTCCGAGGATACCGAACGCCATTGTTTATCGACGCGACGCGTTAGCGAAAAGCACTTTGTCTCGCTTCTCTTATTACCGATTCGCGTCGAGTGTGCTATGTATGCGTGTGTATGCATGTAGATTCTCCTCGACTGGTGTGCATATGTACGTGTCCGTGCGCTTCCAGATGCGCGAGCTTCTTCCAGATGTAACCTAGGGGAGAGAGAGCCTCGTGTGCAGCTTTTCCATAAACGATAAGACTCTCGCTCTCTCTGTCTCTCTGTCTCTCTCTCTCTCTTTCGTTGGAACAGGAAGAAAGTATATTTTACCTATTCAGCCTTCGCGATCGAACCGGCTTATCGACATAGGAAAGCCGGTTGGTATTTACCGAGTAACCGATAATTCAGTTACATCTCACTTGGCCCGTTGTGTTCTGGACGCGTGAGTCACTGTGCTGTGACTCAAGGGACGGAAATCTTGTTTGTCGAAAAAGCACATAGACCTTTTTCAACGCGCTTCGCGCCCTCGGTATCTCTCTTTGACCGTTGTGCAGTCGTGCCAACGCGCCGGGCACAAACTCGCTGACAAAATACGAGATCGGTCACGAGCTAACTCGACACATTCTGCGTAATCGGAGGATAAACATAAATTTCTCCGGTGATTAGATAAAACTACGCGATAAAATGCATAGCCTTCAGCGTGGAAAGATACGGTCAATTACTTCTTGCCTATATCAATACCGTCATTCATGGGATGGAAAAGAGAGGAGAATGTAATGAGTGGGAAGGGAAACGGATATCGTCGAGTAGTGTTTATACAGCGGTATTTTTTCTCCCTTTTCAGAATCTGCAGGAAGCCACACACGTACGGATTCGATACCACGGTGCGAAGGAAGTTTTCGGGTAGCCTCGAGTCGAGACATTTCGTGCCCAAAGCCCCTTATCATTCTCCTGTCCGGTGTAGAATTGTTAGACGACTGGACGGAGAACTGATAAGGGCCCGAGGGTCACAGAATCATCGTGGGACTTGATAGAATCAATATAGACGAAAGGGATTACGATACCGATCCATGACAACACTCTTCGTAGCTTAAACGTATCATTGTATCATTTTTAATCGTCGAATAATAAATTATTTCATTTATTCTAACAAATAAATAATACAAAAATTTCTCTCGTAGATTCTCGCACGCAGATCTGTTTATGCGAGGGTCCTGTTCACTGAAGGAGGGGAGGATTTGTCCCTCGCGTCGTTTAGTCTCCCATTAGTTGTTAATTGTAAGAGATAGGAATAAGCCGAGAAAGAGATTACCATCCTCTGTCTACCTCATTGCCACTACGTGCCATCGTTAATTATATAATTCTCCTGAGGAAACAAACGAGAATTGACTTTGTATATCTCTAGGTAACGAAGCTGTGTGCTATGCCACACGTTTCGTTAATGGAAAAAATAAATATCACGGCCAGCGTTCGGCGCGTATGTCTTTCGTGTATTTGAGCAAAATTTCGGTACTTCCGATAAAGTTACGTTCACGTTTCGTTAGCTTTCGACGCGTTCTGATCAATCTCGTAATTAGGATTTATTTGAATTATTTGCCTAGTAGAGTTCTCCGCTTTCTTCGCTGGATTTTGTACGATAAAAATTTGCTTCGTTTCTTCCTTCTCCGTCAACAATTGTCCAACGCTCATTATCTTTAAGGTGGGTACCGTTTTAATTAACGTGCCGTTTGGAATCGATAGATTTGTATTGCAATCTACTTTCGGAAAAATTACAGGGTTTTTCGTGGGTGTTAAAGACAATTTTTTCTTCGGCATGATAGGCACCTCCGTAGGAGAGAAAGTCGTCCTTTTTATCGCAGGTGTCACTGGAATTGGACTGGTTATCGCGTCTGAATTGACGGATATTATTTTTGGACCAAGTACTATACCATTTCCTGTAAAATGGAAAATGAAATTACGAATACGAATACATGGGAGATAAACGAGCAGTTGCTGTTATTTACCTTTTTGCATTGCTTTCGTTACGGGACAATCCTTATGAGCTAATAAAAGTGTTTTTAATTTAGCCACTTCTGTTCGTAGAACCTTAATTTCCATTTGCAGAGCCACGTTAGTCTCGTTGACATTAGCGACAGTTCTCTCGAGTTGCTGTATCCACGCTTTCCTTTTCGCTCTTGCTCTCATTGAGCTAGCTCGATTACGTTCAAGAATTTCTTTCTTTTTTAATTGATCCTCTAACGTTTTACTTCTATTTCCTTTTTTCATATTATTCAAATCATCCTTGCCAAAATTGCTATTAGGTTTTTGATTTTGCGAACCAGTACTTTTCGTCAGAGTTTGTTTTAATTTCTGTAATTACGAGAACAACATTAATTCGTAAACGAGGAGAAATTAAACCTTTTCGTGTAAATATATTCTAAACTATGCACGTTAAAATACCATTTTTGCTAGAGACAGCGTAGAAATGGTAGGTTTTCTGCAGTCCAATCTAGCATTACATTGCAAAAGAGGTTCCGTTTTTATAACAACCGTTTGTTGCTTCAACGATTGTACATTTGTCGTGTTAATAGAATCGCATACTGGAATCGCCGACAATTGCATTAATTTTCCATCGGCCGTTTTTAACAACAGTTGTACCTCCTCGCCATTAATCGATCTTTTTTAAAAATTTATTCTTCACTCGTTCGCTCACGAACTTCAAAATTAGAAATGAACATTTAAGAATTAATCGTTTACTTACAAGTGGGGATTGGCTTGTTCTTGAAGAACTTTCGGTATTATAGGCGTGTGCGTAACTTGATCGATAATATTCTCTGTTAATGTTACGTTTCGTTCCACGGTTAATTTTTCTTTCATTAAATCTTGCTCGTCAGTCCCGGTAAGTTTAACGGTAGTACAAACTTCGGTACCAATGGTCGTCTTTTCTACCACTGTATCCTTTTCGGTTATTGAAATATTTTCGCACTCTTGTACTGAATTTTCTGACAGTATTTGACTACTAGTAGACAGTACATCGGCAATGTGAGGAAATATATGCGGTGTATGCAGAGTATCATCTGTAATTCCAGCCTGAAATAATACTTAGATGAAAGATCGATTAAATGAATATCTTGCTTTACTTTAATTTTGTTATTTACCTCAGGTACTGTAAGTGTACCAGTATTCCCAGATTCCACTGCTCTCCTAAAGGTTTCTTCGAAAGGATTTACATTCTGTAAATCTTGAAATAGACCAACTTCTTCGCAGTTTCTAATGAAACGTGTCGGTGTGGGTGTTTGGTCCGCTATACAGTGAACAAAAATATTTCTTGCCACTAGTTTTGAAGTGTGATCAAAGAAGTAAAGTCAAATTAACTAAAATAAATCTTTACCAACAAAACCTCCATTCTTGGAGCTATTTCCAAGATTCAGTATCATATCGTGCTTCCTTTTATGTACCAACAAATTATCCTCGTTTGAAAAACTCTGGTAATAACACATAAGTGCAATTTAGATTATATATTCAAAGAATCAATTAGACCTTTCTACTTACAATAAATAATTAATAATCTTTAAAACAATAAACCAACTTTAAGACAAACTTTGTTATATTTTTAATGTAAGTAAATTTCTGTATTACCATATTGCAACCAGTTGATGGGCAAGTAAAAATTTTCTCGTTGTCTGCCATTATTAACTTTTATAAAATGTTTCACGACACTGCTTCACAGGTGATACTATATATTATAAAAACGAATTCCAGAAGGTATGGAATACACCACAACTTGCCGAAAGGACCCATTTCTTCGGAAATTTCCGTGAGGACAATACATATTATTGCTTAATTCGGATTATCTACAAGTTTGTATGTCATTTAATGTCAAATACAGACAATAAATAATACATAAGAGACTTCAGACTCTTTTGATACACCGATTCGAATCAGCTGTTCTGACATTAAATCAACAACCCATTATTATTAAGTAATAGAGTGGCGTATACGTTGACAATAGTATAACTTCCGTCTAGGGATATTTCCTTTATTCCCGCACTTAGTATTATATAGAACATAACCCAGGGTAAAATATGACGTTCATGAGCGGCACATTTAAAATTTCGTTCTTTAATTGTAAAAGTAGATTACCATGAAAAACAATTATTATTATGTGCATTAGTATACTAACGTTTGTAAATTAATATTGTCAGTAATATTATATTTTGAGCGTACACAAATATGCAAATAACTTAGTTAAAAACAACAGACATGTCAATTCATCTGTATCATTACATAATCCTGTAAACATTTTATGAAATAATAAACAAATAAAAGACAATCGTATGTATTTTTATTTACAAAAACCTCCCCAACTCCCAGAAACATCCTTCACCATTAAATGAACATAAACAAATTTTAGGCAACAACGGAAACGTAAAAATAATACTAAGAATATCCAAAAATATTCATGACTGAAAAATCAACCGCCTCGCACATTCTATGTTCCTGATACAAAATCGCAAAATTGTCCAAAAATTTCTTGCCGGAGCAACAAAATTATTGTTCGAGAATTCTTGGAAATGACGTCATTTCTTGTAACTATCTCAGCCAACGACCTCCTGTCATATTATGTTCTCCTGATACAAAATCGTGAAATTGGCCAGAAACTTTTCTTCGAGGCGGCAAAGGTATTGTCGGAAAATTCTTGGAAATGACATCATTTCTCGGAACTGTCTCGGCGAGCGACCTCCTGTCATATTATGTTCTCCTGATAACAAAATCGTGAAATCGGCCAAAAACTTTTCTTTGAGGCGACAAAAGTATTGACCACCTAGGCGGCAAAAGTATTGACCACCGAAGCGGCAAAAGTATTGACCACCTAGGCGGCAAAAGTATTGACCACCAAAGCGGCAAAAGTATTGACCACCGAAGCGGCAAAAGTATTGACCACATAGGCGGCAAAAGTATTGACCACCGAAGCGGCAAAAGTATTGACCACCTAGGCGGCAAAAGTATTGACCACCTAGGCGGCAAAAGTATTGACCACCGAAGTGGCAAAAGTATTGTCCACCGAGGCGGCAAAAGTATTGACCACCGAAGTGGCAAAAGTATTGTCCGAGAATTCTCGGAAATGACGTCATTTCTTGGAACTGTCTCGGCGAGCAACCTCCTTTTACGTTATGTTCTCCTAATACAAAATCGCAAAATTGGCCGAAAATTTTTCGCAATGGCGGAAAAGTATTGTTCAGCGAACGACCTCCTTTCACATTATGTTCTCCTAATACAAAATCGCAAAATTGGCCGAATATTTTTCGCAGTGGCAGGAAAAGTATTGTCCAGTGAACGACCTCCTTTCACGTTATGTTCTCCTAATACAAAATCGCAAAATTGGCCGAAAATTTTTCGCAGTGGCAGGAAAAGTATTGTCCAGTGAACGACCTCCTTTCACGTTATGTTCTTCTAATACAAAATCGCAAAATTGGCCGAATATTTTTCGCAACGACGGGAAAAGAATTGTCCAGTAAACAACCTCCTTTCACGTTATGTTTTCCTAATACAAAATCGCAAAATTGGCCGAAAATTTTTCGCAGTGGCAGGAGAAGCATTGTCCATTGAACGAGCTCCTTTCACGTTATGTTCTCCTAATACAAAATCGCAAAATTGGCCGAAAATTTTTCGCAGTGGCAGAAAAGTATTGTTCAGCGAACGACCTCCTTTCACATTATGTTCTCCTAATACAAAATCACAAAATTGGACCAAACTTTCGCGCAAGGATGCGGCCCTTGACAAATAGAAATTTTTGGAAAGATCAGGTCACATTCATGGAATAAAAAATGTCGGAGAATCGTTTCATTTTCTTGCACATTGTATTCTCTTTTTATATCTCACAATACAAATTCGTAAAATGGGGTAAAAAGCTCTGAGGACGAGTTCGATGTTTCAATTTCTGATTTTCGTATGTGCTTCGATTATGTTATATTTCGTTTTAGAAGAATGAATTGTTATAATATTGTTACAATTTGATACTCACTCACACTGTAATTGAATAATTTTTGTTTAAGTACGAAGAATCATAATTTATTTTATGTCTAGTTTTATTTGTTACATGTTGGCAATTGTTGGCTACTACCTTTCTTGAAATTTGTGCTTATTTACATGTACTATTAACATTTTTAGAAGTAGAAAATTGCTTGGAATAGACATGTGTTCAACGAATTGACAATTTTAACGTTGCAAAGTAATTGTCACCAAGAAATAATGTTATTTCTTTAATAATATATATTCGTATCAATATCATTGGTTGGACAACAGTTTGAGGTTGTAAAGGTTAGAAAGCAGTGGAGTTCATGTGGAATATTTAACAATTTTATTTACTGAGCCTATTTTTTGGATTATATCTGGGATACCATTACAAAGATGCAAATCTGTAGGACAATCTCAAAATTATTTATATCTCGTAAGTTTTCAATGATTTTTCTTTTGTAAAGTCATTTATTCTTATTAATTTTATGTTTTTACAGCAGAATATGTGTTTAAGTCTGTGCCAGTGGTTGGACTAAAATCTTTTGCTCCACAGCCTGTTAAAGATGGTATTTGAAATTATTAATTTAGCATAAAATAGGAAAAGGTATACATATTTGATAAATAATTAATTTTTATAGATATTGAATATCCTTCACGTACAAGGCTAAAGGTTGTAATGAAAGTACCTCAAATGCCTAATAATGTTGCACCTTATAAAACACAAAAAAGGTTGAGGTTAATGCGAGGTCCAGAACTTTTTCATAATACTCTTTTACATAAACAGTTTGGTATAATAGTAAGCAAATAGTTATTAAATTTGGATAACTCTTCATATATCAAATATATAAAGATGAATTTTTAGGCAACATGTGGTGGTAGATTGAAACATAATAATTTTGAAATGATACGTATGTTAGTCCTAAGGAATATAACATACAATAAAGCGTTTGTAATCTGGAGAGTTCCTGCTCCTTGGCAGCCTATTACAAAAAAGGTTCTTATACAAATGTATTTACCCTATGATGTTAAATAATTTTTAGGAATGATAATAATAATAATTTGTATACTATACAGTCACAAGGTGTACGAATGGGTGCTGGTAAAGGAAGCATTGATCATTACGTTACTCCTGTAAAATCAGGACAAGTTATCATAGAAGTGGGAGGAAATATAGAATATTTTGAGGTATTAAAGAGATATTTGCAATTTTTTTATTTGCCATCGATCGAGTTATTTCACTATGGTATGCTATATGAAATATAATTTGATTTAAGGTTAGACGCGGTTTAATAAATATTGCAAAAAGATTGCCTTTTGATGCCAAGGTAGTTAGTCAAGAACTAATGGAGAAAATGGCAGAGGACAAGAAAAAGATGGTAGAAGAAAATCTGAATCCATGGAATTGGAAATATATCATCCAGAATAATATGCTTGGTTGTCACAAATGGATATCAAAGTACGATAGGCGTTGGTTTAACGAGTATCTTTAATTTTATACATACAAAGCTGTATATATATATATATATATAGATATATATAGATAATAAATAAATAACTTACTTACCTCTTTCTTAGTTTTTACTTACTAACCTACCATGATAACACTGTTCAACAAATTTTAACTTTTCCTCTAATCTGTAATATAAATTACATGTTTTCTGTAGAGTTTATTTTCCTGAACACGAATCCGTAATTGAAATTGTTCTATCATCTTTAGTTTTTAAAAAATGTGAATTTTTCTTAAAAGGCACTATTTTATACTAAAATCAAGTATTACATAATAAGTAAGAACGCCGGTAGCTTCATCTTTATCTTAAAAGTTAGGTGAGAATGTCTATAATTATAATCATAATTGGTTATTAAAGTTTAGAAATGAGCCGCCACTTTCTACGCGATATTCTTGCATTTATACAGAAAGTTTTTTATGTGATATGAATTTGTTACACAGTATCGTATTCTGTAGGATTTTCTAACGAAGAAATCATCCAGAAACAACATTAGGATAATCTTTAGTATTGACAGAGCGGTAAAATATATATTGGCAAGCCCTAAGAGAATTTTGCCGCCATGCAACCATTGTTCGCACATTTATTAGGAACGTAGACATGGGTAATAGACACCAAAATCCGTACCGTTATTCGATACATAAATACGAATGTATGTAGAATATAAGCATGTTAAAAAATAATCTCTCAGCTAATTTTTAAGATGAGAATGAATCTTCCAACGGTTTTAATTTTAATGTAGTACTTCATTTTAACCAAGGATATCGAAGAAATAAAAATATTTTGATATAAATATACGTATCATAGAAATTTATTTTATGGAGGTGCGAAAATAGTTAAAGTTCATAAAACATGTTTATAAATTATCAAATTTATTACTAATAACAAATTGTTTACCAAGTAAATTTATGATAAAAGTGAAAAAATTAATAAATTATTGGCTATTACTTGAACTTATAACGTACTTGTATTAAAAGTACCAATAATTTTCAAAAAGTTCATAAATTATTACACTGATTGTTAATAACAAATTAATGTTGTTACTAACAAATTATTCACAACGTAAATTTATAATAAAGATGAAAAGACTAATAAATTTCCAGCTATTACTCGAACTTATAACGTATACATGTGTTAAAATAAATCCATAGTTTACAAAAAGTTTAAATTATTACACCGATTGCTAATAACAAATTAATATTGTTACTAACAAATTGTTCGCAACGTAAATTTATAATAAAAGTGAAAAAATTAATAAATTATTGGCTATTAAAGCGGAAAAATAATAAATAAAGGAATCGGTACAGTTCGAAAATTTCCGATCGGGGTGGGGGATTCGGCCGATCGGCGGCTATATAAGGGGCGACGTGACGAAGCAGAACTCATTTGCCAGTTTGGCATCGGGAGTGTAACATTTAAATTTTTCTGTGTGCGAGAATGATGGTGGGTCCGAAGTGAGGTGGGGTTGGCTACCCCACTCACCCCCACTCCCTTAAACAATTTACTAATAATTTTTTTTATTTCCAGCTATTAATTATTTTTTTCTTTCCTAAATCGTATCCTTTTTTTCTTCCCTAGACTGTTATACGTTAGCTCCGTTGCACTTGACACTGGGATTACGCGTAGCTACACGGCACAGTCGAGGCTAGAGAGTAGCAAGCAGTGGCAGCGTGGCGGTAAAACGGAAAATAAACTCTACAAGAATCAGCCAAAGGCTAGTACGGATTAAAATTTTCGTTGGACAGTGTAAATAGGTATTTACTTCGTTTAACGACGAGAGAGCGGATGGGGTAGGGGTGTGCGAGTAAAACTGGAACGATACCGATGTGTTACAATTACAATATTTTATATATCTTTGATGACGGTTTGGTGGTAACAACAGGTAAATACTACATATTGTACATTGAGTAGGCGATAGTCGTATCTTATTGTTTAATTAGCGTATCGGTTACGCCGAGGCTGATGGCGATGGCGACGTCCACCACGACGGCAATCCGAACGGGGCAAAATGCGTCGAAAACAGCGATAACAACAGCAGCAGCAACAACAACAATCTCAATAACAATAACAATAACAGCAACGATGATTATGATCATGATAGAGTAAGGAGAATCATTTTCGTAGTAGAATAAATAGAGAATAATCGATAAGTACAAAGAGAATGATGTTCGTATCGATTTTCGCGATACGATTCGTGCCAGCTATAAGAACGATGAACAGACATTAGCGAGAGGATAGTGACCCGCGAGAGCATCGTCGATTATTGCCATCGTCGTCGTGGACGCGGTCGTCATCGCCGTCCTCGTCGTGTTTCTCGCCGTCGTCGTCGCCGTCGCCGTCATTGCCGTCGGCGCCTCGTCAATCGTTTTCCATTTTATCCGCATTTATCACACTTAACGTAGATACAGCGACATCGTGTCTGAGGAATGTGTGTGAATGCAGAGTCAGCATTGCGACGATATTCTATTACAATATATGTATATATATGTATATATACATATACGTATATATATATATATGTATGTATACGTATGTATATATATATATATACGTATATATTTATATATATTTATATATTTATAATATAATCCTCCCTGATCGGTGGGAACTTATCAAAAATAAAAAAAGGAGAAAAGAGAGACCGGCAGTTTCGACTTAAACAGGGCGCCCCCTGCGATTGCTATCGTCTCGAGGACCGGCGAACTTCGTTCGCGTTAAACAAAGCTCTTTCGAAAGAGTATCGTGTATATTATAAAATTCGGCGCTACGAGCTGCATCGTGCCTTTAACTCGATTCCCACCTGTACGTAATCGCGAGTGAAACGATCGCGAGAGGTGGCCGAAAATGATCAAACGAACGGATAAAGTTACCAGAAGCGAGGAGAGCCGAGGAACGCGACGGTTCCTCTTACGCGAGTTCTCATTTCTTTTGCGACTTTTGAACGAGAAAATAAATTCATGCGTGTATATATACAGTGTTTTTGGCCGTAGCCAGAGCTGGAGGAAATAGTATTCTAAGTAAAAAATAGTAACTGTAAGATCGTTTGTACGTTGATAGTGTGTAACGGCGAATCGGGGGCAGTTTCGCATCTTCGTATCTCTTTAACATCGCGGCAAAGCGAACATTCAAACAGCGTTCGTTTCACGTGAAACAGCTTCGCAAGCTCACCACTATTTTCTATCGTAAATACTATTTTTTTCCGGCTCTGCGCGAGATTCCTCGTCCTACGGGATGTTTCTTTCTCCGCTTCTCCTTCTCGCCTCGTCAGGAGAACGAGATTCCCTGGCGTACGATTAATTAAATGTAATTAACGCTTGTCTCACTCACGGTACTCGATATGATTGATTCGTTTAACGTCCCGCCATCTCGATAACGAGGAGTCGTCTCTCGATGCTCCTCGAGGAAAAAGGAAAAGATGGCCGCGGGCAGAGCTGCGAAAACCACGCCACTTCACCCCGCCAGACGATTCGAGGATACGTGTAATCAGGCGAAAGGCAACGTAGATCGCGCTTCGCGTTCGTTAGTATTAATAATTAATGCATTAGTTACGCTATAAGACTAGATTCTCGGCGGGGTATCTTACGTTCTTTGCAACGCTCTTTAACCCTTTGCAGTTCTCTCTCGAGGGTGTAAGTGCGCATATTTCACGCGTCGTTCGGATTACAAGCACGAAGGAATGTTAATTATAAATCGAGCGTTCATTTTTCTCGTCGTCGGTAGAAAGAAGAAAAGCACAAGGGTACTCGATGACGATACGCTCTAAAGAAAAATGAAATCCCGTTCGTCGACCTACACGGCGGTATCGCAAAGGGTTAACGCGCGTAGCCCGCGTCGATGCGCTTCGACGCTCTAGACGCTCTAGACGCTCTAGACGCCGACTCGAGCGTCTCTTCTCTTTTTTTTTTTTTTTTTTCTCTCTCTCTTTCCGTCTTCATCGGCATTACATCGCTAAATCCCACGCTTGACATGCTAACACACAACTTACAGATACATACATACTTAGACACGTAGTCCTTAGATACCTATATAAGATAGAGCGACCCTTTAGGGGATCCGTGGATTTAGAGATCGAGTTGCAACGATCCCTGCGCACCTACTTGGCTGATCGCCTAAGAATGAGACATTTGTTCAACCCCGTTCTCTTTCGTATCTGGGTAACCCACGTTTAAACGGGGACAAACGAATTATTTTCCGTTCCGCCGATTCGGAACGAATATTTTCGACACGGGGAGCGATCATCGTGCAAGGAAAGAAGGATCGTTTCGGATGTGATTTCGATCCGAGTAAATGATCGCGTTAATTTCGAGAAACGTAAAGGATAGTTTGTTCGGTGCGCGTGTGTGTGTATGTGTGGGTTAACCCGTTAGATAACTGTCTCTGCGTAACGATCGCGGGGAACAAGGAGGCGTGCGATTGGATTCGCAACAGGAAATCAAATCGGTGCGGAAGAACGAAGGCTATAAGGTGTGCGTGTATTTTGCATATCTCTCTGTTCCATTCATCCATTCTCTCGCACAAACACGCCAACACGCACGCACACTCTCTCTATCCCAGTCTCTCTTTCTCTCGAGTGTACAAGTGTATATGTATACGTATATACGAACATGGACGAGGACGCGTCTCTACGATGTAACTAACGATGGCACAGATGCGATTGCGCTTGCATTCACGCGAGAAAGCACGTGCCCGGACTTGCGACGCGTTTAAAACGAGCACTCGCGACCGATGGCACGTACGCGGACAATTGCGGAATCCAATCGATGGGGGTGAATGGTAATTAAAAGCGATACCGGAGCAGCGTGTCCCGGGCCGCCGCCGTCGCCGCCGCCACCGCCGCCGCCACCGCCGCGAGCTCGTCTAGGAGATTAGCGTTTCCCCCCCGCTTTGCAGCTCGTGAATTTCCCGATAATCCGGCCGGCTTAACGCCCTCTGAAGAATATCGCGATTAACCGGTTCGACTTTTACAGGAAACTTTCTCTTTTTCTTCGTTTCGCGCGTGTAAGTACACGTTCGAGTGGAACACGGCGCATTTAACTACGCGTGGTAAGTGGATGATTCGTTCGAAGAGCGTGTTGGAGCGATTCGATAAGGATGGTAGAAAACGAGGAGAATTAGAATTAGACGGGGAACGCTGATAGCGAGAAAGGTGCGGGCGGCCCGCGGTCGCGTTTCCGCTCGGCTCCGTCGAGCGATTAGATATACGCGAGTTAGTAGTTTGCTCTAAGGAATTTGCCATATAAATGTAACCTCGTCGTTCGTTACAGTCCATAATTAACATGCGCTAGGTATATATATATATATATAATATATATAATATATATATGTACACAGTCTTACAAAGCAAAATTTACAAACATTACGACGTACGGACGATCGAATAAATATTACGTCTCCTCCCCGGCGTAGATCGGAAAAGTAAATGGCCCTGTGTTGGACGTTGTTCGTCTCGATATCGATTTCGACCGCCACGACTGAGACTCACGGTCGGGAAGACTCGGCGAGCGACTGTTTAAAAATAAAGGGGTAACGCGACAAAAGCCTTGAGAGAAAAACAGCCGGCGAAGCTTTATCTTTCCGTTAGGAACCGACGATGGATAGAGTGTGGAGGAACACAAAAGCTACGAAAAGACGAATAAAAAAGACAAGCTATTCGTGGTGGGACGTCGCTATCGAGGCCGAAGATCGATTTCGAGACAAAGGAGTCGGTTTTTGTCCGGCCACGTTTTGGTGAATGCCCTGTCGCGTGGCAGGAACGAGAGAGGCTCGTTCGATTGCCGTGAGGAAAGGGCTTGAGCGAGAGATCGATAGTGCGCGGAGGCGGAAGCGAGGATCGGCGGTCGATCGATCGTCGAAGAAAGAGAAAGAAAGCTGGTCGAATCGAGCGCGCGATCTACCTACCCCACCCCGGCTACCGGCGATCACACCTTTAAAGCCTCTGCGTGTGTACGTGTGCGTGTGTGTCTGCGATTGTGTTTCGTGTATCGTTTTAAGTTCGCGTACCGGAGAACGCGCGCCTCTTATATGACTCGCGCGCCGCGCGCCTGCCTTTTCGTATGCGTGTATTTTCCGTGTATACTCGCGTGTGTTTCGTGTCCATGCGTTTGCGCGAATTCTCGATGTGCTGCTAGGAAGCTGACTAGATTATAGCCTAGAATACGAAACGTCCGGAGTGTCGTTCGAACGGCGCGAGCTCGGCCATCTTGGTTCTCCATTGCGGACGTGCTACGCGGCGAGAGAGGAAGCGGAGAACGAGGCCGGGCTCATCCGCGTGCCACGATTCTCAACGAGGGATCCGGGGTTTCGTATCGACCTTGACTACTCGGCCTTCTTCGAGGCCGAACGCCGTCACCTAGGCGTTCGACTCTTTCAGGTTGTCGAAGTACTGCATGATCTGGTTGTAGTCCATGCCCAGATTCAAGTCGTCCAGTGCCACCGATTCCTCCTGCTCGTGGGACAGAGACGCGGACGACGAAGAGGAGGAGGAGGAAGAGGAGGCGGAGGAGGACGGCGACGAGTTAGGCGGTGACGAGGACGATGAGGCCACGGTCGGGCTGGACACGTTCATCGAAGAGGCGACCGCGTTCGTTGAGAACGACGAGAACATCGGATTACCGACGATCGTCGCCCTCTTCACCTCTCTGGCTCTCGCGTCCTTCGAATGCCTGTTGTCATCGTGAGTCACTAGCTCCACGAACTCCTCTTCCTCCGCGTCGTTTTCTTTCGGACTACCTACTCTAGTTTTACCGTGTGGCTTGATATGATGCATCTGCTTGCTATGCCGGTGGTTGTTCCCGTGAAGATTGCCGCTCGCGCTGCCGTTCGACGCCCTGTGACGATGTTTCCTCGGTGTTTCCGGAAGTCGCACGATCACCCCTGTGTTCCTGTGAGGTGGCACCGGAGGTTTGTAGTCCTCGTTCCCGTTGTTGTTGATCGCCGCGCTGGCAGGAGCAGCCGGACTCGTCGCCGAAGTCATCGCGGTAGTTACAGGTATGCCGTGCGGTGGTAAGGGCGGTGGGATGTCGTCGTTGCTGTATATATGTATATACATATGTATATATAAGGGGAGAGAGATTACTTTACGTTTGTAGATCAAAGAGGTTTTAAAACGACGATAAAACCGACGAATAACGTAAAACAATTACTCGTTACGCGTAGCGGTAGCCGAGGAAGTAGCCATGGACGCTGGGGTAGCGACCGTGGTTGCCGACACAACCGTGGATGGTTTCGACGCAGGCTTGGTCGCGAAACTGTTTCGCGGAAGCTTGTCCCTCTTGCAGTACGTCGTGGTATCTACCGGTCCGGATCCGTTGCTGCGTTGTCCAGCCGATGGTAGCTCGATATGGTTCGGATTGTCGAAGCAAGTTGCCAGTTCGCTCGATTCGCCTTCGGTTTCTCCGGCTAGAGGATTGCTGGTCACTCTTACCTGAAACAAGACCATGCCGTTAAATAACTATTTGTCCCGGAAAGCGAACAGTTGGAAAGGTAAAGGATACCTGTTGCGGTCCGCAAGCGGCTCTTTCGAGAGTAGCTCTACCCAGCCAGACCCAATCGTGCGCGTTCGTGGTAGATTCTCTGGGAGGTCTCCTTCCCGATGCCAGCTGGTTGGCTGCCGCTTTGGCCCTAGCTGCTCCAGAGAGGACCGGAAGCGCGGAGCCAGCTAACGGAGAGTCCGGTTGCTGAGGCTTGAACTTGCTCGCGTAGACCACGCAGGAGACAACGAAGACGACGATGGCGAAACAGAAGGCTGCCAGAAGGACGTACATCCCGATCTCGAGTGGGCTCATGCGGGCTCCTCCGTGATGTCGTTTCCCGACGCCGCCCATTCCTCCTGAAGACATGCCATTAGCTATAGCCGTGCGGTGCTGCCGTGCCTGCACCAAAGGTTCGTGCTCGTGCTCGTGCTCGTGCTCGTGCTCGTGCTCGTGCTCGTGCCCGTTCTCGTCTTTTAGCGGTAGCCCTTTGCACAAAAAACAAAGAGACAGAAAGAGAGAGGAGAAGAGTGAGAAACGGTACTGGAAGTAGTGAACGCAGCAGCTCCCGGCAAGCTGCGTATCCTCCCGCACGACCAGCTGCCTGCAGAAAAGCGACACCAACGCGCTTCGTCATGCACGGACACGCAGACTGTGCTCGCTGACAGGCCTAGCAATCTCTGCTAACTCTGGACCCATCAGTTCGCTACGCGGTGAAAGGAAAGCGAAAGGGTTTCGAAAGCGATGGGCAGGAATGACGAGCGACGAATTTTGAAAAAAGGAAAGAAAAAAGGCAACGAAAGGAAAGCAGCGACGAAAAGCGTAAAAGGCCGAGACCTCTTTCGTCTCGATTGCGCCAGTGCTCGGAAGAAATTGGTAATTACTACACGCGGCAAGTAAATGGACGAAAAGCGGTAGCAAAGGTATACAGTGGCATTCCTTGGAACGAAAATGGTGCGAGTGTGTGTATGTGCGCGCGCGCGACAAAGGAGAACAGGATCTATTTACCGATGAGAATATCGTGGAGATCGGGCGCCATCTCTCCTCGATTGGTCTTCCTTTCCCTGTGATGATGAGAACCAACGGTTCCGCCTCCGTCGTTTTGCACGAATTCTGGTCGATTGGGAAGATCGCTCGAGGCAAAGTCCACCTCGACGTTGGCAGAAGCACTGGCAAGGGCGGCTGCGGTGGCCCTTTGACCTTTTCCAGACCTCCTGCCGGTTAGACGACAGGCGTCGGCCAATTGAAGACTGACTCGTAACAAATCGCCTCGTCCTTCGCCGACCGCGATCACTCGAGGATGATGAGAGGCGACTATCGGAGCGAACGCTACCACTTCCGGGTCTAGACTCTCCACTAATAAATGGTAATCGTTCACGGCTATCTCTCGCAGCGGTGTTCTCGTGCCGTCCGAAAACTCCACGTCTATGTCCAGCAGACCTTCCTGCATTCGCCGTGACCGGAAGCGAGAAATCGTTGAAAGAACGTTCGCTCGCGTCCATCTCGATCTACGATTACTTTTCACGCGGACGAAAAGAAAATGGAAAATCTCACCTGATACTGAGCAGTCAGTTTCCTCGTGACCGACGTCTCCGCCACGTAGCCATTCTCTATAGCGGTATCCGGGTTGATGGAAAGTTGTAAACCGGACACCACTTTGACGGACAATCTGGTGATCGCTACTCGATCGTTACCCACCCGCACTTCCTTCGCGCCGATTACTTTGCTGGTAATCGGCGAGAGGACCTGCACTTCCGTCCTACCCACTCCACGACCTTGTACGATCCTTCCTTGCAACAAGGTAGCGATTCTGGGATCCGAGACCCGTAGCATACCCATCACCAGATCGGTCACGCGTAACCAAGTACGACGGTTCACGAAATAGGAGACCCTTCCGGAATCGTGATCGGTAGCCAGGAACCTGGCGTGTACCTCGACCGGACTCTGTTGGAAACGGAGCCTGCAGTTGGTGGATGGCCCTCTGTCGATGGAATTGATGGCATCCCATCCGTTGTCGCTTCCTCGAAATCTCTCTTCCTGTTCGTCCTCCTCCAGGATCACGTCCGCGTCCTCGATGTCCATCGAGGTATCCTCCAGTTCCGCGGCGCTTCTCTTCTTGGTTTTCGAGCCGGATTCGTTGGATCGCGAGTTGGTGGCGTTCGTCAGGCTACGTTTGCTCTTGGTTCCCGCCGCGTGTTCCTCCGGGATCTTCCAGCCTTTAATCTGACTCAGTCTCGTATCTCCCACGGTCATTTCCAATGGGAATTCTGGCATCCAAACGGTGAATTTCGCCAGCCCGGTGTAAGTGCCGTACTTGACGAGAACGGACGCGTTGCTGGAACCACGGATCTCCGTGCCGTCCACGTACACGCTGCTGCAGGAAGATGACACCTGTAACAGCGGGAAGCACGGCAGTGTCACGAACGATTCTCTTCCCTTTTGCCAAACTTGAAAACGAGCACTATAAACCGCGCGCACACACCTTGAGTACGCTCTCGTCCTCCGAGTGACAGGATGTTTGCAGCGTAACGTCGGCCACGGTTCCTGCCTGGCTCACGATAAAGACCTTCATCCCTTGGGACACTTGGCGACCCGTCAACACCGCGGTGTTCATCACCTCCCAGTTCTACGAGGAAAAGGAACTCGATTAAAGCGCCGCCTCTACCCGATGACTCCTCGCGGACCTCGCGTTAGTTAGTTAAAGCGTTCTCCAACTCCATTTAGGAAAGTCGCTTGCCCGATTTAGGAGAGAGAGAGAGAGAGAGAGAGAGAGAGAGAGCGATCGTTCCTCCGTCCGCTGCCAAGCTTTTGTTTGCTCTCGAGAGGGAAGCATAGGGCTGTCAGAAAAGTTTCGCGAATGGTCGCGGTCTCGAGTCGAGGGGAAAGGCTTTTAAAGGGTCTCCGCGTGGGCCTAGACGAATCCATCCGCGTGGCTCGACCATTTCATAGGTATACGCGCGCCACCGGTACACGGACACACGCGCACCGGCTATGGAAGTTATTCTACGCGCGGCCTGTACATCATACCCCGTTCGCCGGTGTGTGTACTTTAGAGCGGCCAGTGGGTGGAAAGGGGGACGGCAGGACGAGGGACGAGAGCGGAGAGAGAGAGAGAGAGAGAGAGACAGAGAGAGTCCGGTGCACGAGAAGCCATTTCCAAGTTGGCTTCCGTACAGTCTGCCCTTTGGAAGGAACATCAAACGACTCGGATATTGCAGCGAGGGAATTTAAATCTCTGACCCCGAGCGGGGGCTCTCTATCCGACCACCTACACACCCGCTTGTCTCCCGTTCTACGTGTGCGCACGGCCATCTACAACGCGTATCTCTTTGGATCCCGGCTTCGTGCCTCCGCTTGGCATCGATCAGCTCGATCTTAGGCGAGCGCAAAAAACCTGCCATTGAGTACATTCCGGGTACCGGTCCATCCGACTTTTTCCCTCGTCCAGCTAAAATATTCCCTCCGGTCATGCTTCGATATTCCTCGGACTCTCGCGTATCGAGACGTCGAGTTGTCCGATTCTCACGGCCGCGTATACCCTGCGTTTCGTCGGAAAATTTCCCTGGGATTGCTTCCGCGAGACGTATCCTGATCCCGGGATTCGGTTCGGTCGCTAGAGATAGGCCAGCGAGGGAGAGAGAGAGAGAGAGAGAGGGAGAGTGCCAATTAAGGTATTTAGCGATCAGCTCGAAAACAAAAGGATGGCGATTGGATTCCGGTGCAGCCCCTTTTGTTCCAGCGAATCCCATTGAACCGTTGTTGGGGAGGCTGATGCTTTTAGAAATTCGTGACTGCACGTGCAGGCACGGGCTGCGTTTAAAACAAACACCGAGCGCAACGCAGCTGCCGGGCCGCGAAGAATTAAAGTTCCACGGAACTCGAGGAACTCTGCGCGCTTCTCCTAGTAAGCGGAGTAGAGGTAGCAGCGGTAGTTGGTCGGCTTCGAACTACGGAAATTTATCGGGAATCTCTGATCTACTTAGCCTCGTTCCGCTCTTGGGCTGTGTTCGAGATTTAGCTATGCATTATCGAGGGCTGCTTCTCGTCAAAGGGCACGAGCCATCACGAGTGGACTCCTCTCTTCCGTGGCCAGGCCGCGGCTCTAACGTTTCTTATCCTCTTGGCCTAGATATTTATATCGGGGTCCGGTGCATCGGCTTTCGCCAAAATATTTTCTTCCCGTTGATTAACCCTTAGAGCGCTATGGACGCGTATATGCATTCGGCGAAAATTACCAGCAGGGACGGCTGACGCATATATGCGTTGTTCAAATTTTTCGGTCTTCCATGTAATAATATTACACGTAACTTTATGCGAGACAAATGCACGCGTGTTTCTTAGCAACGGCAGTAAAAAAAGGCAAATGACGGAACAAATAATAGACGCGAAGACGGGTTTATTCTTTTGTACATCTGTTCCGAGTATCATTAGTAATGTAATAACAATATTAACGATATAAGTATCGTACACAAATAAACTATTAATTTTTGTTTCGTTTTTGTTCCTTATTTTTATATTAAGTTATATTGCAAATTTTATTGATTCCAATAGACAATTGATGCTTGAAAATAACGTTTCCTTATTATTTAACCTGCTGCAAAAGAATTACAATAATAACTTGTTAGTTGCGCCTTGAACAGTTAATCGACGGGACTCGCACTATCGAAAAGTATTCCGTCGACAGCGATCGTCAGCTTTAAGCACGCACCGTCCCTCTGAAGCGCTTCGGCAGAAAGTCGTCCGCACTCTAAGGGTTAAACGAGCGCGGAGATCCGCGTCGGCTAGCAACTCTAGCAACTCTAGCAACGCTAGCAAAGCCCCGGCGTAGACGTTGGCGTTAAGCTGGACCTTTGCAGCTTTACGCGGATGCCGCGAGTGCGAGGCACGGCAGACGACGGGGGTGGGTGTCTCTTTTAATTAAAAACTTGCCCACCTTCCAGCCGGCTGAGGCAACGGCAATTAGAGTGCGGATAATCAAGAAGCGGCGGGCTTCCGACAACTCGTCTCGCTACTGCGAGCCTTTCAAAGGAATATATAAGCGAATTAATGAACTAATTAATCAATTAGTTCGCGCACGAGTCTGCCGCTGATTGTCGTGTACACGGCGCTCCTTCTCTCCCCGTTACCGAGCTGACCGATTTCGCGTCGTTTGACTCGCGAGCGCGGATCGATCCACGGAACGTGGCGTCGCGTCGCGTGAATGCCGGAGCTGAAGGTACTAAGAACGAAATCAATTAACCTCGCGCTCTAAGCTTCCGAAATCCCGGTCAAAGAACCGAATAAATTTCCTCGCATACCGTATCACCGGAGGACCGACGATAAAAACCGTCCGTGGACGGTGGCGTGCTTTGTCTCGAGGAAAAACGACATCGCGTAACCCTTTGCTCCGACTTAATGGCGGTGTCTTTTTACCAGACGGAAAATCCGTCCGCGTTCCATTATTAGTTTATCAACGGCAAAGAATAGCCCCGACTAAATCACGTCCATTCTCGGCTACGAAGTTTCGACGTTTCCATGGCCGGAGCCGGAGACAGGAAACTTTTCGTCCGTCGTTTCGTTTACTTTGTCATCCGGCGAAACGCGTTATCCTCTCCGTGTTTCCTACTTGGACGGGAGCCCTGGTCCCAGCGCCGTGGAGCACCCCCTAACACCGCGTACAGGTCCGTATCGATCGGCACTTTTGCCGGCGGTTATCGGCCAACTTAGCGGATTCTTTTTCGAGAGATTTCGAGGAGGGCGTGCGGTGGGAGACGCGTGGGAGGACAGAAGCGAGGGTTGGCTGGGATGAAAATCGTGCCGGTTCGTCCAGCGGTGATACTGGTTCGCGTAAGCGAGCTCGCCCTTTTCTCCCTCCAACTGGCCGATTTCTCTTTTATTTTCCCACCGATCGCGTCGCGTGCATTTCCTCGCGAAATTCCCGATGCACGTTTACGGGCACAGTTGGCGGGAATGAAAATCGTCCGGCGCGTAACCAGTGGTGTCCATCAGCAAACATTCGAAACTGCGCCGGCAACTTCTCTTTATCGTCGTCGCTTTCCCAACCACTGGCCCCGCGTATCGAAGCTCAAACGGAATTCAAACGGATTTCGCGCTCTCCTCGTCCATCCGCTTTGCCAGCCACGCGTTTGTCGCCGAGGTTTTAAAAAATACCAGGATTCCCGCCTAATTCTCTCGTAATTAACGCGTTCATCTCCGGCCGATGTACCCGACGGGGCTTCTCGGGACCCTGTGTATCTCGATTCGAGATCACTGGCTTAAAATCTTATCTTCCTTTCCGCGAGGAAACGAGGTTCTTTTCTTTGCAGCTCGACGAGCTTAAAGCATTACCGCGAGAACACGAAGAAAGAGGGAATACGTAAAGACGTATCTGCGGGTGGTGGTCGGGTAATCTTCGTTATCGCGACGTTATCGAAAAGGAAACGTTAGAAAGACAAACTTTGAGCGGAGAGCTTACCTTGGATATAGGCAGCACGGCCTGTATGTCGTCCTTCTGTATCTCCAGACGAACCTGCAACTTCCGTCTCTCGGCGTGATGATGATGATGATGCGGTTGCATCTGTCTCTGCTGCAATCTCTGCTGCAGCTGATCCATCCCATTTAGCTGAGAGCCGTTGTCGAAAGCGTAACGTACGCTCCACACGATTCGGCCGCCATCCCAATTCCCTTCCACCGCCTCCTCGCTCGCCTCCAGAAGCATCGTCAGGATCTCCTCCGCCGACCTGATGCAAATGACAAAGATGCGTTACCAGCGACAGAAATCCGATCGCTTTGCCGGAGTAATCGCAGCCGTCCCGCGCGAGATTCGTTGCTCGTCGCGTATCCTCGGAACGTCCAGGTTCCACTCGATTCCCAGGATCGTTCCGGCATAAATGGCGCGCGTGCGGGGTAAACTATCTAGAGGACCAATTTCTTCGAAGATCGGAAACGCGGTGACGGACGAATCGTTTCGGAGTACCGATGATTAGATTCCCTATTATACGCGCCTAATCCGTCGATGGACGATCTCGTTTCACCGTGCTCGTCGTTCCCGCGATACGGAATTCCACGCCACGCGTGCGACGAGTGGGGCAGGTCGGGACGAGACGAGCCATCGAGCGGAATATTCGAGCGTACGGCGAAACGTGGAAGTTGGTGCAGCGAAACGGTCGTACGCGAAGGAGCGGACGCGGAGAAATTGCAGCGTCGAAGCGTCGTCATTGTCGACGAGTTAACGAGGATCTCGTGGAAGAAGAGCATCGACTCGCGTATTCGCCAGGGTACTCGCAGTTACGAGTCCCGGGTGTTACGTAACGCGAGGCGCGGCCGCGTTACAAAATCGCGAGCGTTTCACGGTTCCGTCGAACACGCGTTAACGACCCACCCTGCCCGCGGAGTCTGACCGTGAACGAGGATCATCCGTAAAACAGACGGTTATTACCGTGAGATTTACGACTCGGAACAACCGCTTTCCTCGTCGACGTCAGCGAATCGAGCAGCTAGAACCGTTTGCTCGGTGATCCTCCGGACTCGGAGGATTACGAAATCGCGCAGAGATATTGCTCGCGTTGGAAATTCCGGCACCTTTCATGATCTTCGATCTTTACCACGAACGAAACGATCTTTGTTTATCCTCGTTCGTTTCTTCGCTTCGCGCGCAGCCTCGCGATGGGAGTGATCTCGCGATTCTCCGTGTCGTCTCGGCTCGGCCGATTCGGGGTAAACAGCGATTGCGGATAAACGGTGGCGAGATAGAGAAAAGCGGGAGAGCGCGGTGGAAATTAAGGAGAAAACCGAGGGGGAGATCGGGGCAGAATTTATCGATGTTTTCCCGAGAAAGGAATCGAAATTAGACCGGTGGATGATGGCGATAGCGACGGGGGCGCGGCGAATGGAAAGCGATGGGATCGAAAATGGAACGAGATGGAGGGGGAAATCGAATGGCAGTGTAAAAGGATAGCGGAATAAAATTAGCGACGAAGCGGAGCAACGGGAAGAGGATGGAGAGAGGGAGGCAGCGGGGGTTGATTCGCGACAGCGATAACGAGGCCTCTAAAAACGAGGTTTTATCCAGAGCATAGGTCTCGACGCGTTGCGTGTTTAACGTTCGCACGATCGATGATCCAAAACTCATCGTCGCGTAAACTACTGATTTCAAGGAAGCCGCGAACACGTAGGAACTGTTCGGGGCAAGGGAGAGGGAATCAAACCGGATTATCGCAGGGTTAGAGGCGATAACGTCGTCTAATATACAGTGATACTCACTACTTTTACTTTTTCTCCGCGGACCATTGCGAAACGAAACTCTTCGCGCCTCGATTCCCGATTTCGATAAAATCTCTCTCCGACTCTCGCACCTCGCGCGCGCTCCAGCTTTTCTATACTTTTCCCCGTTTACGACGTCGTTTGCATATTTCCGGACCCTGTTACATTACACACCTCCTCGAGAGTAACCTCTCTCCGGAGCACAGCTCCTCCCGGCGTACACCCATCTTCGTTTCGCGCGTTCGAAGTGCTATCGGA